GCTGACCTCAAATTTGCAGCCCTTCTGTCCTGGCCAAGCCCATTTGAAATGTAGATTTAGAGACTTTGAAGTGGTACAGCCTGAACTCTGAGGTTGCTTCTTGGCTGGACCTGTGAAGGGCTAGAAGTCAGCACAGTTGTGCTCTGGGTCTCATGTTTCCTGCCCTTCTCTCTCTTGGGATGTGACCCACATGGCTTCAGAGGGCCGTCTGGGTTGGTCACCCCTGCCAGCCCTCTTCATAGTTTTTCCATTCCACAACTGTTTTTGTTTGTTTGTTTTTTGTACCAGGGATCAAACTTGGGACCTTGCACTTGCGAGGCAGGTCGTGGCACCACTGAGCCAAATCCCTGGTCCTTCTATTCTACAACTGAATTGTCCAGGTTCAGCTGAGCTCCTGCGTTCCCTGCTCTTCAGTTCACTATTTTAGGGCCCAGGAGTGAAGGCGTCCTTAGTGTGCATGCACTGTCTGGCTCGCCAGAAGAGAGGGACTCACGGGTGCTCAGGAGGAGGAAGTTTCAAGGGTGGGCAGAACGGAAATAGTTTGGATTTTTATTTTTAAAATTTTGGTACCAGGTATCAAACTCGGGACCTTGTGCCTGCGAGGCAGGCAGGGAACCACTGAACTAAATCCCCAGTTCCTGTAGTTTGGTTTTTAAAAATTTTTAAAATTTGTTTTAGTAGTAGTTTTAAATGGCCCAGAGATGTGATAAAGGAATCAGACGTAAAAGTAGACTGCAGGTGGAAGTTGTTTAGCCCAGGTTTGAATTCATGCCACAGCGAGTCCCTGTTGGAGAATCCTGCTGGATGACCATGGTGATGGCAGGTGTTCACTGCACAGACAGCGGAAGAAGAAATTTTAAAAATCATTTGGAGATGTAACAAAAGCATTCAGTTTAATTTTAAGAAAGTGTAATTTGTACTGCTTTCTGACGCTAAAGCACTTCTGTACCTTTATCTTGACTGGAACATGCAGCATCTCTCATGTCACCTGATATATTAAAAGAAATTCAGGAAAGCTATTCTTGAGCTCATTTATTTTTCATGGCCCCTGCAAGTTCATGAAATAATCATAGCTTATTTCCTCATCTCATTTGCGATGCATTCCACGGTATTGTGACAACTTGTGAGGAAACCCTTGCAGTCAGCAAAACTCTGTCCCAGATATGATAAATTTCTGTTCTTAGGTTAACAATAAAACAATTAATGAAAAGAAATGGAACTTGTTCTTCTGCTTAGTGAACGCCGTTATGTCTCCCTGGATTTCAAAGTCATTTGTAGATGTGTAGTTCAGACAGGTTTGACGGAGTAGGAGAATATTTCACCGGTTCAGGGTACTCACCAGTGTTCACTCTCTTCTTTCCTGGTCTGTCTGTCCTGTTAGAACTAAGTAAGACCTCACAGTCAGGACCACGGAGCCTGCTCGTACCCATTTTCGCAATGCTTGGCCACTGGTTTGTGGTAGTGACCCAGTGTGAGATTCGTCTGCTGTCCCAAGCCCTCAGTGTGAACATCCATACTGGGTTCTGAGCAGTTGTTGAGGGCCCTTGGAGCCGCTGGGTGGTCGAGCCTCTGTGCCAGCAGAGACCGCCAGGGCAAGGTGGTTGGAACCATGTGGACGTGATGAGCTGAGCTGGGAGAGCAGGGCTGAGACAACTGAGATGCAGTCACAGAGGCCTGGGAGCTTGCCTGCAAGCAGCCTGAGGGTACAGGGTTTTCACAGCAAGAGCAGAACAGCAGGGGGTGGGGAGGTCAGGCAGACAGTGCCCTCGGGTTGGACAAGAAGGCACTGGCATTGGGAGGAATGGGATGTCAGTGGTGCAATGGAGGTGAAGTGGTAGGAATCGGGAAAAGGGGGATTGTGGGGGAGGAAAGTAGAGAGCAGCTAGAGAGGGAGCAGGATTAAGTGTGGTTTCTCTTCAGTCCGATGCACTGATTGCTGAAGAGAAAACAGCCAGGGAGCGTGTGGAAAGATGAGGGGCTGCAGGCAAAGGAGAGGAGGCTCCGGCCGCCGTCGCCTCGGAGCTGAAGCGTGATTCCCTGGTTGGGAGAAGTGACTTTCGGTCCTCTGTGGGATGGGACGCTGGGGGCAGCTGCAGATGCAGATTCATGAGAGACAGATGTGAGGGTGTGGTGGTCTCACCTTGGATTAGCGTCTTTGCTGAGCTAGAGTGAGTCTGGACACCCTTCTGGAAGGAGTAAGGAGTAAAGGAAAGGATAAAAGCAGTGAGAACGTGGGGTGGTATGGATAAGCTGAGAATCCCAAGTGCAGAATGTGGGGTGCGCCCTGGAGACCCGAGGAGGGGACGGTGATGAGAGCGAGTGCAGCACGGCTGTTCCAGGTGAGCAGACTGCACGCACACCCCGCGGGCCGCAGTCCACCGCGCCACAGAAGTGATGGTGTTTCGGTTTATTTTTAACAGCACTGTCTCGGGGTGTAAGTGACCTAAGTTACTTCCTGCTGCTTTCAGGTTGAACTGTCCAGTGGAAGAGAGCGCTTAGGCCTGTTGGTGACAGATGAGGGAGTTCTTGCAGAAGAACAACCGTTGTGGCCAATTTTTGATTTGTTATTCTGGCAAATGCAAAAAGTTAAATCCTTTAAATGTACAGGACCACTTAGTATCATGAATGATATTTAATATTTTTGTTACGACTTATCAGATGGCCAACCGAAGTTAGTTACCTTTACTTAAACTATTTAAGGCAAGATAATAGCCCCTAATCCCAGAAGCACCAATGTACCAGTACAGTGTGTATAAGCGTGGTTTCTGAGTCAGCCTGCTTAGTTTGGGTGGTGAGGCAGCCAGAACCCCATGTGTCCACCATCCTGGGACTGGTGTGAAGACCTTCAGAGGCCTTTACCGTGCCATATCAGACTGTGCTTCCCAAAAAGTAAAACTACAAGGTAAGCTTCATTGTAGGCGTTCAACATTTATTAACTGATTTTGCAAATCTCTTTTCATGTTTTCCTATATCAGTAAATAATTTCTCAGGTCTCCAGCAGTTGCAGGGTCTTTGAGGTGCTCTGAGCCGTAGGGACTGTTCCTGTCTCCCTGGGGATGGGACATTCTGGTCCTTTGGGATGGCAGACTGTGGGTGCACCTGGGCATGTTCGGTGGAGGGGACTTGCCAGGGACCTGCTTGTTTGTGGGGCCGAGGAGCCTTTGGGAAGTCTTCACTCTAAGAGGAAGAGGAAGAGGAAGGTTCTTGTTGCAGGAACAGATCAACACAGTGCCTAAGAAAGCGGGCTGTGCTGTAGGGTGCATGTGGACTAGGGAAACACCAGGAACCTGGCCATGGAGTTAACGCAGTCCTCCCCAGGGATGGGGATTTCTCCCAGTGTCTCTCTTTTGTGTCTGTCTCCTCTTGCTGCCACCCAACTCACTTTTTCCTACTCTTTATGTCTTTCCTTTGCTTCCTCATGACACTGGTTTGATGTGATTTCTGGTGCCCTCTGCAGTCTCTCTGTATATTTAGCTTCATGTCTCACAACCTCATTCTCTTAGGATTGTTTAGATTCCTGAGAGACGAGGACTCTGGTTTTGTCGTTGCTGTTATTGTTCTAAGCCACATACTAGATCATAGGCTCTTGGGTCAGCTGGCTGCACTTGGTCTCCCATAAGGAGTCATGTGGCCAGTGGCAGCCTAGGGTCCACCCTGCAAACCGAGGAGTTCTCACTGTTAGGTTTTGTGGACTCTCAGGGTATGATGTGGTCCTTAGAAAGGAAGAAACCTCCTGGCCTAGTATCATCCATTTTAATTAACTTCCTCTGCATGTATTCCTATTCTTTGAAATATATCCTGTGAGCTGCCTTCATTATAAGTCAGTCCTTTGTTCCTGCAGATAAACCAATAGCCCTAAAAGTGTTGAAAGTGTTCTCACTTTTCTGTTGCATTCATTCTGACAGTGCAAGGCCATTTGTTGTAATCTGTGGGCCTGTTTCTTGATCAGTGATTGTTGCTGCAAAAAAGCTTCTCAACTTCAAATAGCTGTGAGCGAGTTGGATGGTTATAACCTTATGCCTTCCGTATATTCCTTTTCCCCAAAGTTCTTGGGAGCTGTGTAGATGTTGAGTGACTCAGCACTGTCCCCACATTGACATTTGGGGAAAAAAGTGTCCTGTCCAAGTGTAAACCTGGCAGCAGTTCTTTGATAGACCACACACCTTCCAAGGAAGAATGAGTTCCCAAACTTAAAAATAGACCTTGGTGACAGGAAAGAGAAAGTGATGGGAGGGAGGAAATGATCAAAGTACATTATAGATAGGCACATAGGGAGATGTCGCAGTGAAACCCATTATTTTGTTCAATTACTGTGCACTAATAATTATAATAAAAAGTAGACCTTGATATCTACAGTATAGCCAAACTACAGTCATTACGTAGTCACAGCAGAAGGTATAGATGGGATAAATAAAATGATGAGGATGATAGCTCAATCTAGCTTGAGCCCTCCAGATTTGCCAGGCAGTGTTTTAAGTACTCCAGCATTGACTGACTTAATCCTTCACCTGCCTCATGAAGGGCTGGTGGCTTTCCTTTTATCTTGATTGCTCCCTTTGTGAGTCTTGGGTAAAGGCTGCACGGCAGAGCTGAGGCAGAAAGGCCGAACCTGTGCTGTCTGGCTTGTCTCCTGTGGACCAGAGTCAGTCAGAGCCTCTGCCAGCTTCTCTTGCTGGGACTCCAGCCAGTCTAGGGCAGTGCTGCAGCACCTGTGAGCCTGTATCTGTCTGGCTAAAGCTCCTGTTGGGGCCCTTCTCCTACTAGAATTCCTGTGTCTTGGAGGGAGGTTTCACAGACTGCTGGCTTTTCTTTTCTGTGGTTTCTCGGATAGTCTCATCTCTCCTTTGGTTTAGAATCAACACTTGTTTGTAAGAGGGTCTGCCCTGCCGTGTGAGCTGGATGAATGACCGAATGACCCCTAAGGGCCTGTTCTTCGGGCACTGTGCCCCTAAGCCCTCCAGAGTGTGAACTTTGTGCTTCTCTGCATCTCTCCCACCCAGCAGGATCCAGGCTTCTACAGCCCTGCAGCTGCTGTGCCTGCCTCTGCCTCTTCGGGAATGTCTTGGGGCCTCTGACGCCTGTTGCTGTGGTGAGTTTCCCCTTCATTTCACTGTTTCTCCGAAACACAGAATCCCCTTCGAATACTGTGAACCAAAGCTATCTCTGGAGTTTCTACTAAGCAGAGTCCTTGGGCCCGGTGAAGAGAAAACTCTAATTGTCTCATGTTCCTCCTGGAACTTGCCTTCGTCTGGCTTTGAGTTCCTAGATGTTGGGCCACCTTTCTCTCTGGTTGTCAGAATCCTGTTTGTCTCCTCTGTCCTTTTTCCTCTGGGGCTTCATTTTCTTCACATCAAGCACAGACTTTTTGCTTCTCCCTTCCCTGACTTCACCCCATCCCAAGGGGCAGAATGGTCAGTGAGGTAAAGGGCTTTTCAGTGGCCACTGCCCTCGCAGGTCTGACTGCCAGCCTGGAGGCTTGAGCCCATGTGGATGGGTGGTGCCTTCCCTCTTTCCTGACCCAGTACTAGGGCACTGGCTGCTCCTGAATGGAAAGGCTGGTCATGCACCCCACCAAGTTCGTTTCCAGGCAACCGCCCTATTTGGAAGATGGGGCCTGGGCTGGGGATTTAGCTCAGTGGTGCCACACCTGCCTTGCAAGTGCAAGGTCCTGAGTTCGATCCCCAGTACCACACACAAAAAACGAAGCTGGAAGATAGGGAAAAGTGTGCTGTGGTGTAAGGGTGAACGTTCTCTTCTCTTTCCGGCTCCAGTCCCTCCTGTGCTGACTTGGGTAACGTTGGCCAGACTTCTTTGTTGTGGGAGGTAAGATCAAAGGTTCAGGACTAGTACAGTATTTTAAGATTTTCTCTTCATGCCATTAAGGATTTTGGTCGCAAGCACAAAGTTGCCACTGATGTAGGAAAAGGCAGTTCCCACATGGTCTCTGCTGTGGAACTCTGTGCTGGGAACTGGACTCACAGGCCTGGCTGGTAATGTCTTGTATTGCTAGTTCAGTCCTGTGCACATTTCCACCTGGGGTGCCTGGAAGATAGGGGTGTTTGCTGCAACCACTGGCTAAATTGGATATTCGCTTTTGGTGGTGTGCACTTCCAGAATGACACCGGGTCAGCCACCAATGCCAGTTCTGAATGTCAGAAGTCCAAATGCTGCTGTGTGCATCCGTTCATGTGCCATTCCTGGTCCTTTCTGAGAGCGGGCGGCACTTCACTTGTATCCGTGGAGACTGTGGCTCCTTGGCTGGAGGAAGCACTGCTTCCTGGTGTCTCCTCCTCCGAGTGGAACCTCTCTCCAGACCTCTCATGTCCACTTGTGGGTGGTACAGCTTAGGAGTGGTGACCCAGGTATAGAAACAGCCAGGCCCGACCTCCTGGTGGAGTCTGGGTGGGAGAGATGGGAAAGGAGCATGGGTAAACTGCACACTGGAAGATAGGTGAGATGCTAAATTTTGTTACTGTTTGTAAACCACCGTTTAAAATGACGTGTACTCTTATAGCCAGAATCCCAACATTCACTTTGTTTTGGTACCGGAGATCAAATGGGACATTGAGCTTGCGAGGCAGGCGGCAGCACCACTGAGCTAAGTCCCCGGCCCTTCAACATTCACTTTTTGACCTGCAAATGACTTTGGCCACTCGAACCTGAGTCCCAGCTCAGTCTGCCACCTGCCACCCACACCCCAGGCATCTGCCTTGCTCATCCTGCAGTGAGCTGGTCGGGGCCCTGCCTCTGCATGGGCTGGTCTGGCTTCTGTACTTGGTGGTGCTTCTCCTGGGCTGGAGCGTGGCTTTTCTTCCTTTGGCTGTCTGCTAAGCATAGAAGAGGGACTCGTGCGCCAAGCAGGACTCACGCTCCTTGGGCCTGCTGTTCTTCCTTCCACGCCCCTGCCTGTCCATCTCTTGTCTGGCCCCCTGAGACGACAGGCACAGTGGGAAGGGCCAGGCGAAAGCAGAGGGTACAGGGCACAGGATGGCTTCTTAAACAGGGCTGTTTGTGGCCTACCCTGTCTCCCAGCATTCTGAGTCCCACTCACCCACCCGGCCATTCCTCCTGGTGGGAGGTAGAATGAGTGCTACATTTATGCTCCTTGGACTAGAGGCTGAGCGTGTGGCCCTCATGACTGGCACTGGCCCTCTTACCTCTCTTGGCTTTGTGGGTAGATGACCAGTGGCCACACAGCTCGTGAGTGTCAGGGCAGGAACTTGAACTTAGGTCTCTGGCCTGTGAGTCCAGTGCTGTACCCACTGAGCAGTTAGGGTCCTGGTAGGCACAGGCAGGGGTGGCAAGTTCAGCCCTGGGCTGCCTGATGTGACGTTTTGGCCCATGCCTCCCGCGTCCTGTGCATGGGCTGAGGCTCTGAAAGGAGCATGGTGCGGACCAGGGGAGCCCACCGAGGTCGGATTTGTGAAAACCACCTGTGATGGGGACCGTGGAGGAAAAGCGGTTGGGTGGCAGCCAGGAGGCCAAGCAGACGCACAGGCGTGGACGCGGCTCATTACGAGATTAGATCACCGGGTCTCCAGAAGCCTTTGCCTGGGAAATGACACTCTTGGCAAACTCGAGAATGTGTCATGTACTAAATGGAAGTATGGGAAATAAACATTTACGGAGCCTTAGCTGGGCTCTGGGCACTCTGACAGGTACTTGCACATTTATTATCTTCCTTAATTATCCCACGAGGCACTGGAGACATTATCATCTTTATTAACCCTACGTGGACAGGTCAGTCTGAGATCAGCCAGATCACGGAGATGGCAGCAGCGCCATGGCCATGGGCCAGCCGTGTCATCTATGGAAGGTGATGGAGCATGTGTCTGTGTCCTCCTCTGTCAGAGTCTCTGCTCGTGCGCTGCCCCTTCCACAGTCAGAAGGAAGCTGGGCATCACTCCCCCCGTAACCTGTCACTCTTCCTACCCCTAATTTCATCATGGTCTTTGGTAATTTCTAGTTGAAGGAAAACCAGACACAGCTGCTTTTGTCCTTGCTCCATTGGAGTTTTGGGCTTAGCCAAGTGAAGAGCATTTTCCCCCAGGATTGAGTGAAACCATCACCCTTCCCTGGTGTTCTCTACAACCCAGGGCTGAGTTGACCTTGCCTGCTGTGAGAGGACTCTGGACTTGAGGAATAAGGGCACCTGTTGGATAGACGAGGCGGTGGGGAGTCCAGGTACCAGGCGGTGTGGGCACAGTGAGTGGCTGGGGACCCATCAGCAGGATTCTTCAGTGCTAGGGGTCACACTGGTCACCACAGCCTTCTCATCACCTGCAGCAGAGATTCAAACAGGATGACATCAAAGTGACGCAAAATCTTTTCTGTTGGCAAAGGAGCAGACTTGTTTTGTTTTGTTTTTCGGTACCGGGGATCGAACTTAGGACCTTGCACATGTGAGGCAGGTGCAGCGCCTTGAGCTAAATCCCTGGCCCTGTTTTGTTTTGTGTTTTGAGACAAGGTCTCACTTTGTAGTATAAGCAGGCCCTGAACTCACTATGTAGCCCCTCATGGGCTCATGATCCTCCTGCCTCACCCTCCCAAGTGCTGGGATTGCAGGCATGCAACACCAGGAGCAGACTTTTAATTATTTGTCCTCCTTACAGAAAGGAGCTTAGATCCTGTCTGACCCCAGAATTGCAATTGGAGAATCCTGTTCAGTAAGAAAGAACCACCTTTCACCAGTCTAAAAAGTTGACTTCAGAACCCTCAAGGGTTCTGAAGGGGGTGTTTTCCTGTTAACGTCACAGAGACATGATCATGAACAGTGCTGGAGTCCAGGAGTTGCTGGCTTGATGCTGGCTTCAGGTGCAGGGACATCTGTGTGCCCGGCAGGCATGTCACCACCGTGTGTGTGAGTGGCAGCTAGGGCCAAGGTGCCACAGTCAGTGAGGAGACCCTAATGGAGCGGTGGACAGCCGGGCGGGGTCTCTGTGCGCTCCGTGTTCTCTCGCGGAGTTCTTACAGTGTCCACCTCTTGGTTCTCTTGGGTGCTAAGCTCCTGAATTATTTTGGAGGACTTTGGGGGACACTTTTCTTACACCTACAGCAACAGCATCTCATGGTGGGAGTTAGAAGCAAGCACTCATCTTGCCATTCATTATCTGTGTGTTCTTCTACCTCACCGAAAGTAGGTTTACGATGGATTCGTGAATGCTTTGGTATTCTCTGTCCTGGGAATGAAAACTAAAATTTTGCAAATACTCATTTATTTAAAAATGATAAACCCATTTCATGGGAATACAAATGACATTTTTATGAAAAATAGCTATTTTGTAAGTCAAATAAACCAGTAAGAAGTGCAGCAGTATTTGTTTCAGCATGTCTCTGTATGGTGTGAGCTGGAGTGTAGCTCAGTGGCAGATCACTTCTCCACGTGTCCGAGGGGGGTTCAATCCCTAGTGTCACAGACAAAACCCAACCCTTTGTCAGGGCTGCCTGGTAATCAGCAACAGAGACGGCCTCCGAATGTCAGGTGCCAAGTACCAAGATGTGAAGAAAGTGGAGGAACCCAGTAGCAACTGCCTGGGCATCTGTCTCCGGATGGCCCTAGAGCACGTGATAAACTCTAGTTTCATGTCACCTGAGAATCTTTCTCAAGTTGCAGTCCTCTGAGAGGACCGGCCAGACTGAGGTCCTTCCCCTTGTCTGTGCCAGGGAGTAAGCAGGGTCTCAGCTCTCACAGTGGAAGGAGGTCCCCTGACTTGCTGGCCCCATTGCCTTTATAGAGGGAAAGGCAGTCCCCATGCATGGACCGGGTGCTGCTAGGGAGGGGTGACACATGCCCTGCCTGTGCTCAGCAGGCTGGCGACTTGAGGAATGCAGAAAGGCAGCAGTCACTGTCAAATGCTTATGCATTGTCTTTCTTCTTTTCATAAAACCCTAGGAGATAAAGATGCAGGTATTACTTTTACATTAGAGGAGGTTGAGTCTTAGGGATGAGTAACTTGAGCAGGAGAGCTGGGCTTCTTCCCTGGCTAGGAGGTGGCCTTTCACAGGGGTTGGAGGGAGGAGGAACTGTTGTGTTGTGTGCTCAAGGTGTGTGGAGACCCTGGTGGCCTAGAAAAGAGCCTTTTCTTACCT